TTTAGAACATGCTGTCGAGACCCTGAGAGACTGGTTGGAGTCTGGTGTACTCGATAGGTATGTCGTGTGGAATTTCTTACCATGGCAAAGGGAGCTTATAGCGATGGCTAATAAGCGACGATCTTGATGGTACCATACGAGGTTCTGAGTACGGAAAGAGGCGTTGTACGCCTCAAGTTCTGGGAAGAGAGGAAGTATCAGCCACATTGTTGGTCCTTTTGGGGATTCTCGACCGAGCCGGCGACTTAGCCTGACGGTTGACCCCATCACCGGAGCTTGCAAGATTGAATGACCTGTTCAGTACCTCGCGGAGAGGGGACATGTGCGTGATTCTGGGCACGTGGCGAACTTTGACGAGCTGCATGTGGGCAGAACCTTACCTTTGATATGGTACCGGTGACCTACTGGATTGACGAATCCATCAGGAAGAGTCCGAGAGAGGTACTCGTCAAAGTCCGGTGGGGTAACCATGGCTAGTGCGGTGTGACTTGGTAAAGTGGGAGGACTCGGACAGGGTATCCAAGTTTAGTGGTTTGAGCTTCTCTCTTATGTCAGTTGTCTGGTTGGGATGATTTTCTTAGATTTCCGAGGACGGAAATCGTTTAAGGAGGATAGACTGTAATGCCCCATTTATTTGTGGTTTATTTGTGGATTATTTGAGAATATTATTATTATTTTTATTAATGTTATTATTATTATTATGATTTATTATTATTATTTATGTGATATTATTGTTTGCCCAAATGTATTAATTGATAATTGTCTAAATGTCTAATTTATCTTTGTGATTAATTATTAAATGTGAATAATGTGTATTAATATATATGTGTAAATATATATATATATTGTTCGATTCATTTTATCGTGCGTTTGAAACGAAATCGGGCCCCAGAATACTCGCGTGAACCGAACCTGAGCCCGTGAGCCGACTCCTTGTCGCTAACCAGCCCGACCGACCGGCCCGCGAGCCAGAAACCGAACCAATGGCCCAAACCCGTTTCTCTCATTGTGAGCGTGAGAATATTTTTTTTTTCTTAAGAGGCAAGAAAATCTAAACCTAGTTTTAATCGTGCACAGCTTTTCTTTCCTCTCCCTCACACCCGCTGTTCGTCTTTCTCTCTCGCTCTCAAACTCAGCGGATTGAAGAGAAAATCATCGTCTTCGTCGCCAAACCAGACGCGATTCACCATCGTCCTCCTTCCATCATCACGTTCAGTCCCCGTCATCTCGCCATCGCCGCTCTGTTCGTGAGACAACAACAACACCGGCGCACAGCGACTCGCGACCAACCTCTGGCGACCTTTGTTCGAGAAATTCCGGCGAGTTCGAGCAATCCACCAGCCTCGGCGATGAGACCTCCCTCTGTCGTGATATTTCCGGCGAACCAGCACACCGCCGCGCAGCGACGCCCTCCCAGCAACTTCTGCCGTGCCGTGAGCTCCCTTTTCTGATCGAGCAGCACCCCAGCGACTCTTCCTCTGTTCGAGCGACTCTCCATCCGTTCGAGCAGTGAACTCCGACGGAGACCCCGCAGCAGCGACGCACTCTCTCCTCCCGTACGAGGAGCTCTCCTTTTTCGCGAGACGAGTTCACCGTCGAGCCCGTTCGAACCCTTCTCGTCCGATTCCTGAGAACGGTATCGAGTCTCGACTTCTCGTTTATTTTTTTTACATGAATGATGTTGTGATCGGTTGTGCTTTGCCTGTTCGTTGAATTATAATATATATGTGTTTGAAATTGTTCGTTGTATATATATACTGTCGAGATTTTATGTGAAACTCGTCGATTAGTACGAATCGTACGAGAAGTGGATAATGATTAGTTGCTGTGAATTTAGGGACTTAGGATTATTGCGAACACAATGGGGTTGGCCTTGTGTCGATTGGGCGTGTAAATTTGTAGTTATGCTTTTTCGAAGATTGAAATTGCTGTTTTAAGTGTAAAATTCACTATAAAATGAATACTGTGCCAATTGCCTTGAAATTTTATGTGGAGCTGTTTCTGATGAAATTGTAGATTGTGTAAAAAGTTCGTGATTTTTAAAGACCTGCAGCTATTTTTAAAAATTAAATTGATTTCTATCCAGATTCTTGTTAAATGCATAATTAATGGTGTATTGCTCCAATTTTTCTGATATACGAGTATGTTGGGTATCTAGCATGTTTATGTGTTGTGTAAAAGTTTTAGAATTTTTGGACTAGGTTTGATAGGGTTAATAATTTATTTTGTGTTTCTGTCCAAATTTGTTTTAATTGTGATAAATTTGTATGAAGCTGAAAAATTCTGAATTTTGGTTGAGATGCTGATTATGTAATGTTTAGCATGCTGTAACATTTTTGGAATTTTTGGAGTTCAGTTAGGTTCAATTTTGATATAAATTCAATAACTGACTGAATGTTGTTGTAATTTTATAAATTCACATGTTGAGTGTTAAAGGCTGGTATATTTATGTCTTGCTTTTCATATGCTGTAGTATATTAGATAAAAATTTCATGGCCTGAATCGTTCATTAACTTGTGTTTCTTATTTAGACTCATTTTTGTTGAAAAACTTATGTGAATTTTATAAAATTGGGTTTAACGAGTTTGAGGCTGAAACTGGGTGTTCTTGCTAAATACTGGAAGGTGAATTTTATGTAAAATTTTCAGAGCCTAACTCGTAGGTTTGATATACTTTCTAATTCAAGTGTAAATTTCGAAAATTTATTTCTATGTTAAATTCGGTTAAGTGTTGTTGACCGAATTTGCTAAGTATTTATTTGTGACTCGTTTGATTGTCTTTCATTTGTATTTGTGCGAACTTAAATACGTGGTTTGATCGAGTCTATGTCCTAGTGTTCCCATATCCACAGAACATCACGAACCACTTAGTCGAATCAAGTTCGGCTAAGTCAATTTGTGAATTTTCTACTTCGGCCTAGATTAAAGTGTTGACTTTAGTATCTGGACTTAATGTAGGTGTATAGAGGTGTTGACCTCGCCCCATTTCGAGATTCGTGATTTGATCTGTTGCTACATTCAGGTGGGTACATTTATTATGTATTCCATATTTATCGCACTTATTATTTCGTGTAATGTTTCTTTTGAAAATTATTCTATGTATGAGAACTCTAGTCTAAGTGTCCCGAACGATAGTGTCTTTGATAAATGCGAAAGCAGTAGGAGGTCGCCTGCCCGTTGTATCCGGGAAGGACGCCCCATGCCGTTGTATCCGGAAGGGGAAAAACATCTCTGTTGTCTCTTGGAAAGGATCCTACGAACCGTTGTACCCGAGGGTGGGAAGGTTTCCAGTTACAGCCATGCCGTTGTATCCGGAAGGTTGTTGTATGTACATAGGAGGTTTGCAATAGGGCCGGGTAGGGGGTTTAGGCTACGAATTCTGTGCATATTGTATACTGTGGTTTCTTGTTTCTAAAATTATTATACGGGATAATTATGCGATGATGGTGAGCTTGTTGGTTGCTCACTCCCATTATTTTTTGTTGTTGTCTCCTCTTCCTTTCTTTAGGTTGAGCTGAGTTGGTGGCGGTGGCGTAAAGACGAGCGAGAGGATGGTCGTTGGTCAAATTATGTTATCGCTATATTGTGCTTCCGCCTGTTTATGATTTCTTGAACTGAAACTTGACTTGATTTATTTTTCCCGCTTGGATTTAGATATTTTATTATGTGTTGATATCCCTGCTTGATTTTGTATATTGATTATGGGTTATGCATGAACTTGTTACTTAATTATTTGCTTTCATACTTTGGATTAATTCTTGCTTCCGCTTTCGAATTATGTTTAAATTTTGGTTGAATCTTGTTTCATGCTAGACCTATTTGAATGTTTTGAGACTTATAAATGTAAGGGATTATTTTATATCGTTAATCCGAACATGTAAATGTAAGGGATTATTTTATATCGTTAATCCGAGCATGTGTAGGTTCTTTTGTTTGATGGATGTGTTCATTTGCTGTGGTTAGTAAGTAGCACCTGTTTCTCGATAAATGTTTTAATTTGGATTTTTTAAAAAAAAAAACAACTCTGATTTTTATTAAATGAATTCGATAAATCCTTTAAAATAAAACGAGACGTTACAAAAAAGTCATGATGATTTTACTTTTTACATGTTAAAAATTATAATAACTTGTATAAAGGAAACCACGGAAACCATACAATAAAAAACATATATACACCAATAAAACGTGCAAGCTTAAGACAACCAAGCATTTCTTACCTCTCATTTTCGTTCAAATTACACTAGTACAATACCCGTGTATTACACGAGTGCTTATTAAAAAAATATTCTTTAATTATAAAATTAATGAGAAAATTATTTTAAATCTTATTTATTTACTTACAATAAATAAATATTATTATATATGTTATAATGACACTTGTTACTTGTGACTTACATGTGTTATATTACAGTAATTTTATAACTTGTATTATATAACTACTTAAAATATAAATATATTAATTGATAAATAATTATATTTTTCTAATTAATATTAAAAATAATTTTATTATTGTTATAAAGATAAATATAATTTATTTTTTTATACATACAATATGGATGTTAAATCGAAACTCATCAAGAGATGATTAATTTGATATATTATATATGTAAAAATGATAAAAAATACAAAAGTTATTAACTTTTAAAATACATTTGCAATTCAATGATTTTAATAAGAAATTATATTAAAATACAACTAATGCATGTAACATGACCATAAATAATCAACATATGTATGGTAATCCGGACCTAATTATTTTTTAATTGGAATTAAAATAAAATCTACCCAAGCCTAATAACAACGAAACATGTATTTTTGTCACATAAGATCCCGAAGCATGCGAGTCTACCACTAAAACTCAACACGTTCTGAATTAATACGTAGGAGAGATTTTGCTCGTCGTAATCTTGTGGTGTTGCTTTTGAACGTCAACATAGTCGATGCTATTATTGCTAGGTATTCTATCCAATTTACTAAGAACGATAAAAAATTAAAAGAGACCGTACATCTTCTTACCTTTTAATTTTCACATAACTTCCATTGTATTCAAAATACCACATTCATTTTCTCCACTCTTGTATAATTGGCGAGTGTTATTACATTCAATAAAAGTAATAACATATGCTTTGTTTTCAAAATAAACAAGGGACGATCGACAATATATTAGGTATGCACATTTATGATCATGAAAACACTTTAACTGGGAGCTTAAAATGGTTGACTGAAAAAATGGGCCGATAACATTTGATACTCTGACTGACGTCCATCGACTCAATTTGAAGCCTATTATTCCGGACAGGGCTAATCCTTAACCGCGAAACAGCTCTAAGGCTTTCCAGACGCTTGGACTGTCGGCATCTTCTTTCGGTTGACAACAAACGAGCAAACCTGATAAAATATACCTCGTACATACTCATGAACTAATTATATATATGCATATATATGTTGTTGTCAATTCATATTGTGTACGTGGTGCGTACCTTATAAGTGCATCCTCATTTGTGCCCCCGTCTTGGACAGGCTGAGTCAACCCAGTGTCCAAATTGACCCTCGAAAGTGGGCCCCTCAGCAGCCTCTTTCCTAATGTCACCAGCCTCTCTAAGTTATCCATTGTCGCAACATCCACTGAATTCTCAATCCCGGTCAGGTTATCATCCTGCGAACCAAACAAGCTTCCCCCAATTAAATAATTATTTGAAGAAGGAAAAACAATACAAACAAACAAAGAAATTAATTAATGCACCTGTATCCTGAGATAATTGTCTTGAGATTGAAGAGACTGGAATAACAAGGAGGTGTGATAATCAACCATATCTGCACTAGCTTGATTGAATATTTCAAGCAAAGGAGTTGTGCCCCCGTACAGAAGCCAATCCATAATTCCCCATTTTGCCACTAATTTAGCATCATATTTTTCCTCTAATCTTGCAATACCCGTGCCTATTGATAATGTCAGCAGACTAGGATAATCTACAGGTGGCATTCGGAAATAGTCAACCCTGCTGCCGAACATTTGTTTTATTACTTCGTTTATTGCAATCAGTGTCTGGCCAACACGTGTACCAAATTAATTAGTTTTTGGATTAATAATTAATGACTAAATCGTTATAATTATTAATTAGTTGGTAATTGATTTTGTGCTTACTGGATTATTTGCGGCCACGCCGCCATCTATGAGGTTGTACTCTCGAACATTCCCGTGTTGGTCACGGGTTACAAATTCGTGGCCCGGAAGAAATGTCGGAGCCGCTGAGGTACTTATGCATATGTCTGAAAGTCTCGCGTCTAACAAAGGGGACTTTTTGGCCTGCGTTAACCCAAACCAAATTTCTATTTGGATTACTTAATTAATTATTCTGTCTTTTCTGTAATTACATATTTGAGTAATTAATTTCAGAGTCATTTCAACTATATAATATACTAGTATTTGTCTATGTTATACTAACATGAATTTATCCAAATTGTCTTAATTAATTAGCTGTCATTCTAATCAATCAATGGTCAACCACAATATTTAATTCATCAATAGTTAAACCGTTTCTCCCATTTTCTTATCCAAACAAACTTTCATTTGGATTACTTAATTATTAATCCACATTTCTAAAATTACGTATTAGATTTATTAATATCAAAGTCATGTCAACTATATAATATAGTATTTTTCTATGTCATACTAACATTAATTTATCCAAATTATTTGTCTTAATTTGCTGTCACTCGAACCAATCAATTGTCAACCACAATACAATACTTAGTTAAACCTATTCTCCCATTTCTTATCGAAACAAACTTCTAGTTGGATTACTTATTATTCCACATTTCTATAATCACATATTACAGTTATTAATATCAAAGTCAGTTTAATAATATAACTAGTACGTACCTCGTGCAATGCACGGGACAGAGATATTAAATAAATTATTTTCACAGCCTTGTCCGTTTAATAATATGAGATACGAATTTACATAATACTATAGATTTATTCCTTAATGGTAAGATATTGAATTATGTAATATATGATTCACTAATTTGTAATCTGTTTCTTTTTATATTGAAAATAATCATGTGATTTATATTTAAAACAAATCTTTAATGTCAAGCCTATAAATACCAAAACAAATATGTAATTAATGTCATTCTATTTCCAGCAAACATTAATTACCTTTGACTTTGTCTACTATTTCTAGTAAATAGGATGACTTTTTATATAAATATAGATATACTATTTGTCTATGTCATATAACTAACATCAATTTATCCAAATTATCTTAATTAATTAATAATTAGCTGTCACTCTAATCAATGAATGGTCCACCACAATATTTAATTCAATACTAGCTAATCCTATTTTCACATTTCTTATCCAAACAAACATTTACTGGACCACGATGGAATAGTGAGAAAGTGAGTAACAAAAAAGAAGGCGTACCTCAAGTGTTGAGAAAACAACAGGCTGCAATTGCTTTATGTCAAAAGCTGGAATTATGACGTTTGTAATGGACTGGCTCAGCTTTACGCCCTTTAGTTTTTCTCGCAAGACGCTGTGAAGGTGGGCCCCATCATACAATGGTCCAAGCAAAGACCTCACCGATTTCCAAAACGGAATAAATGACCTGCACATGATAATAATAATTTTTTTATTTTTTTATTAAAAAACAGCAAACTAATCTAAAAAAGAGATGGAGAAATTAATTAGTTGTACAGCTTCTGGGGGAAAATCTTGGGGCAGTTTTCTAAATAAAATGGAGTTATGTCCTTTGCAGCGTAAAGCGGGCGATTGTTTTGGTCGGGTGAGGTTATCATTGCCGTGACAAGGCCACCTGTGCTCGTCCCAGCTACCACGTCAAAATAGTCAGCAAGTCTCGCATTCTCCCCGTCAAGCTCCTGTAAAAGTACAAATATTATTTAAATTAATTAGCACACCTCAATTATAATAACGTTGGATTAGCGAAGTAGTTTAGTTTGTGCTTGCCTGAAGCTGGGATTCAAGGAAGTCGAGGATGACCGCGGGCAGAATTCCTTTTATGCCCCCACCATCTATGCTGAGGACTGTGATGTAGCGGTCGCAGTTCGGGGGCTGATTCGTCGTCCCGAAACATGGATTCGTCGCCATTGATTTTTGTGGAGATGTCAAATCAAAATCGGTGGAGCTAGCTGGATTTGATCGGGTTTTGAAGTGTGTGAGTAGTACTGCTTATTAATTAATTAATGGAAATAATTGGGATGAGTATTATTGTATAGGCAACATGACACTCGTGTTATTAATTTTATTTTAGCAAGTAGGGGTGAAATTTTTCCAACAAATTGTCTTATTGGATTATTCTAATATATGCTCAGATTTTGCTCATTTATCTACATTTTGGGTGGGGTACTGTTAGGCATGGAACATGGGGTGCATACATAAATAAGGAGGAGCACATCATCATATCTGAAAATATCTTCTATCAATCCAAATCAAAAAGAATTTTTTACAATAATAAAAATAATAAAAATTAACTGGAAAAAAAATATAGACAAAAATAAAAAAGACGTATTTTGGGGATACATTTTAAAGTGTAAAACGTATTCTCGGAATACGTTTTACTGTATTAAAAAATTAATAAATAAAACGTATTTTGGTTATACGTTTTACAAATAATTAAGAACTAAAACGTATTTTGATAATACGTTTTAAATTTTAAAATTAATGAATAAAAAAATTAGTATATAGTAAGTGTTTTGTGTTTTGGCTCGTCTGAATTCGGAATTGAGTTCTGTTTTTTCCTATACGTAGATAACGAGCCCCTCTATTCAATGATGCATGCATGACCAAATTATTCTCGAAATCATATTCTCCCAAAGCTCTTAACCTACACATTAAAAGTGTTTCGCGCGACTTTGCTTTTTGGGCCCGTTCAGACTCGTCCAAACTCGAAATTGATTTCTGCTTCTTCCTATATATCACCAATGAACCCTTCGACACAACCATGATTTTTCGGTCAATTTACGGGCTACTTCTGTTCCTCATGGGCTAGAAATAACAAATCATCCATTCTTTCATTTTTTTTTCAGCAAGTAATTGTCGTTTTCGTGGGCCCCGCAGGGTCGCGTTACATTTCGCTTTACCGAAAAAGAAGCTGAGACATGTAGACCGTTCCCGCACGATGTCATTTGAGCCATTTATCGAGTATTTCAGAGTCTGCCGGGAAGAAAACGGACAGCAAATATTTTTTTTCTATTTCGTCATTACCGGCGAGCTTCATTTCATGAGGCGACTTCGGGTACCCCGTCGGCCCTTGTTAAGCGGGCCGAGCATTAGCGAGAGTGCTTTTGAGAAAGCACGAGTTAATTTTCCGAGTTCGAGTATCCGAGTGCATCAATATAATACTTATCTCTTCCTAAACTTTCTCTTTAAATAAGTCGATTATTCCTTATGATCACGTATCTCTCCACTCCAAATGGAGGTTTCTGAATCTTCTCAAGCTACTAAGGTTCTTCAACCTATAAAAACCATATGTGTTCTTGGTGGTCTTAAACTTGTTAATTTTCCTCATAATATCCATGTTGTAAGTCAACTGGTGAGAGAGTTGGGAAAACAAAAGATTAACTTACTGTATGGAGGAACTAGCATCATTTTCTCTGATAACCTTTTAATGGTTGCCAAATGTTTTGATATAGAGGTGAGAAGTATCCTCCCTTTTTATATCACTTCAACAAAGGTTGTCAAAGATTCTACAACTTTGATGCTAACTCTTTCTATAGCAAACTCTTTCTATTTATGACTAAAAACTTATCTCATGCGTATTTCGCTTTCTGACACACAGATTGAAATCTCATCTCATACTCGCCACTCTTGTATAAACAGACTTGATAATCCTTCAATCTTTTTCATCAATGGTCCGAACTCACAAATGGATCTAGCACTCTCAAATATGCAGATAAGTGACATGGAATGTTGCATGCCACATGTATACTTACACCCGCTTCTCAAGTTGGAGTATGGTAAATAGTAGTCACACTCAACTTGAAAATTTGTTGTGTAAAGTGACAATAAGTAAATCTTGGTACGCAAGTCGACAACTTGAGAGTTCGAAGGCACATAGGAAGGCAACACAATTCTTTCCTAGAACTTATCGCGCACAACATGACAATAGATCTCCAAGTGTTTCACTACAAGAAATTTCAGAAAACATGACGAAAAAAATCGTCATGTAAACCTTGTTTTTCGTCACAACAGTATATTGATGACAAAAATTTATCGTCACAGCGATCGTCACCGTAGCTGCGTCATATTAGGTATAGGTGACAAATTTCAAATTTGTCACCTAATGTTTAACTTTTAATGATTTATCAGTTTCGTCATGTTATTTGGTCATTTTTCGTGACAATAATTTCGTCACGTTTAGTATGAAAATTTTGTCAGGTAAATGATTATTTCGTCATAAAAAAACAAGTTTTAAATGACAAAAACTCAAATTTGTCATCTAAATATTATTGTTTAGTGACGAATTTTCTTTTTTTGTCGAATTTATAAAATTTCAATGACGAATATATTTGTGGTTATTCGTTAAAATAATTGTCATATTTCATAGAATTCGTCATGAAAGAGTTGTTTTACAATTACAAAATATAGGTCGTCACAAAAATAAATTTTAAATATGACGATACCAAAAGTGTCACAAAAAAATAGTTGTGACAAAATATTCATCGTCTCCAAAAATATACAACAACGACGAATTCTTTTGTCATAAATTCTTATCTCTCTGATTACGAAAAAAAAGATTGTCATCAAAAGCTTGAGATATAATGACAACATAAGTTGTCATTAAAGGGTAAATATTTAGTGACAAAATTTATTGTCATTTTAACATTTCATATAGTGACAAATCCAAACAATACACCACGATTACATGTTGTGAAAAAAATTATTTTTAATGACAATTTAAAATTTGTCGCTATTACAAATATAATAACTGTCATTAATTGCATATATTTAGTGATAACTTTATTTGTCATGAAATATATAATACAGTGACAAAAACTATCATCACTCTAAACAATTGTCATGAAAAAGAAAATACAGTGACAAAATCTTTATAAATAAAATATGACAAATTAAAAAACGACAATAATAATAATTTTGCTAATTAAAAACTTAAAAAAACGAACTAACAATCTCAAAATGTTCCAAATAAAATAATAATAATAATAATAACAAAGCTAACAATCTCAAATTATGTTCCCATTGGCAGCCATAAAAGCCATAAGTTTGTCTACTTTTGCATTCAAATCACTAACTTGGTCCTTAAGCTCAATCACTTCAGACTCTTTCTCCCGCAGCTTTTCTTGTGTCTCTAGAAGTTCCTTCTGACCATTCGAGTCATATGCTTTGCGTCTACTTGGCGGCCTCGGGCCATACCCATAACCTTTTATATATCCAGCTCCATGGCCAAGAACCTCAAGAAGTATATCTTGTGCACTCTTCTCAGCGCCTTGTTCAGAATATTTTTCTCGCCTTGATATCATCAAGTCCTAACAAATACAAATAAAAACTATATAATCATATTGATATTCATTTCTACAATTAGAATAATAGATTGTGCATGCAATTTACCCAATTTTCTTCTGCCTCTTTTGTCGACCAACCACCTTTTTCCTTATAATGCGTACGCTTATAAAGCTCAATCATATCTAGTGGTCCTCCATTCATCTCCTTCTCAGACTACAAGAATTTATAAAAGTAAGCATAAAGAGTTTAAATTCAAAAAGAAAAAAAAAAAGAACTAATGATCATAAATAAATTAATATCTTCAACATAAACTTACTATTTCATGTTGAAGAACAGTAAAAGGTGTTCGGCCCGAGACATGTGGAGCACGCAACATTTGTCGATTCGTCACATTAATCGAACTTTGGTGCTGTCAAATCATAAGTAATGTTATTGGATACTAGAAAACTAAAAATATGAAAACTACAAATTTAATATGCAAAATAGAAGAATAGTATTATAATGCATTACCTTGAATTTAGGCGAAGCAAAAAGCTCACACATTTCTTCCCAGTTTTCTTGACTAGCACAAAAAGAGGGCTTGTTATTCTTAGCTTCTTCATGAGACGAATATTTCTTGTAATGTTTATGTAGTCTGTAACGTTTTTGCCGTGAACTAGCTTGGACTCTATCAATCACGCAACGTTTCACACCCGGATCATCCAAATTAATATCCATGTGGATCTACACAAATAAAAATGAGATTATTTAAGGTGATATAAATAATGTATTCATGCGACTTGAAAAGTGTTTCTACTTTTTACCTTTATATGATCAATGCCAGGTTGAAGATCTTTTTCTTCATCGACATCTTTCCACCTTACTGGCACCGGAAGGACATCTCGGGTGACTACACCAATTTGACTAGAAAACTTTGAAGACTCATCTCTACTTTTAGGTCTTCCTATCGATGGATCCACGGTTACCTTCATTTTTTTCCCGCAAGCCTGGAATGCTTTCATAATGCCTTTGCCCATAGTTTGTCCACGTCTTTTCTTAATGGTGGTATTGGAAGCTGCATATACACCACTCAGTTATTTTAATTAGTCAAAAGCATCACACTCATAAGATTGTAATTTATTGAACTTTGAAAGGCAAAGGCACATGTATTTTAATTTAAAAGAGCAGAGCATGCATGTTTTTGATATTATACAAATCACTGGAGTTTCAAACTAGATTCAATGACACATTTATCAACATTTAGCAAATAACCGAGGTGAAACTGAGGAATTCTGCAAAACATATTTTCAGACTATAATAAGACAAACCAAATTAGAAACATGGATAAAATTGTAAAATATCTCTTATAAACCACCAGACACGTGTATTTTTATTTTGATTCAAAAGAGGAGAGCAAGCATGTTTTTGATATTATACAAATCACTAGAGTTTTAAACTAGATTCAATGACACATTTATAATCAAACTAGATTCAATGACACATTTATAAATATTTAGCAAATAATCGATGGATTCTACAAAACAAATTTTTAGACTATAATAAGACAAACCACATTAGAAACAGAGATAAACTTACAAAACAATCTCTTATAAACCACCAGGAACATGTATTTTGGTTCAAATGAGCAGAGCAGTCATGTTTTTTATATCATACAAATCACTGGAGTTTCAAACTATATATATTTTTTTTCCAAAACGAAAACAAAATGCATTAAACTCAAGCAAATGTCCACAACTGATTACATTACAATCCTATCTAGTCTAAACTAGACAGTAGTTAGTAAACTGGCTAATCACAACAAGGATTTCCCTCAACGACCAACTTGGCCACCTACTCCTAACATAACAAAGCAGAAGAAAGAACAAAAACACAGTG